TTAAGTTAATGAAATGATTCAAATAGCTCATATTTCTTTTCTCCTGTGTAGAGGGACAGTTTAGCAAGGCAGAGGTAGAGTGAGGAAACAAGATGGTGTCCATTTGTGCAGACACGAAAGCAAAATTTAGCTGATCTGGTTAGTTTAGGAACGGCTAGCACTTCTCTGTGTTACTTACTTTTTAAGGAAGTGTTTTTGTTTGGTGTGAACCTGTGGTGTTTTGGTATGATTTTTCCCAGGCGAAGATAAAACCTTGGATCCGGCTCCGGTGCTGATGTTGTTATCCACAGACGGGGTATTATGCCCCTTTTACATGGTCAATCAAAACCCGGGGGTCCGATCTCTTCTGGTGACTCCTGAGTGTCTCTCTACAGAAGGGGAGAGAGCAACAAAAATAGCAGGTAGGCATTGAGGCCTGGCCACGAGGTTTCCTTGTGTTTGTGAGTTTGGGACTACTTAAGAGGTAACTGAGGTGGAGGCATTGAGAAGATGTTGTGGCTTTCCAAGGGGGTCTCCTTCGAAAGCACAACTCCCAAAAAACTGGCCCAAAACGTTGTAAAGTCAGGGATGGTCACTTGAATCATTTAGCGCCAGATAATGGTCATACGCTGAGAACTACCTGTATTATTATTCTTTTTAATGGTCAATCTCTCCCTTCCAGGCACCACCGCTCCTCCAGCTGCTGCTAAGAGCGACGCTCCCCCAGGCCTTCCAGCCCCGGGCCCATCCTTAGCCCCAAGCAGTGGGGCCACCCCCTTCTCTTTTGCACCCCCTCCTCTCAAAGCCCCGGGGCCAGCTTCGGAGTCTTCCCTGCCTTATCCGCTCCCATCGGAGGCCTCGACAGGGGCTCCTGGGTCAAGCACAAGCAAGACAGCAGAGTTCTCTTCTCCCGCCACCCCGAAAGCACCACAGCCCCCCATCTCCTCGTCTGGCCTCCTCCCGGTCTCCACTCCACCTTTCTCCTTCGGGTCAGTGAGCTTCAAGAACCGCTTCGACGCGCCGGTTCCTTCCGTCGCGACAAAGCCCAGCTTCGCTCCAGCAGGGTCCTCTGTCAAGGTCAACCTCAACGAAAAGTACGTTATCTCTTCTTTTTTTTTTGTTAGTCTGTATAAATTAAATTCTCTTTTATTATTTTTACAAGTAGCTCTTACCCTTAAATACAAAATCCTGGGCTATTAGTCAACTCCAGGGTTTCTTCATTCTGGACCATAGTTGGTGGACATAAAGCTGGTGCTTAGAGCTGGATCTTTGCCCTAAAATGTATTAAGCTTCCGGCTGAATCCGTCTCGAATGAACATTTTGATGTGTTCTGGAGCCTGGCTGATGTCACAGCGCTGTCATCGACTCACTGGTGCCATGTTGAGCAACCAGTGTCGGGCATGAAGAATCGGGGCCATGTGTTAAGTTCCAGCTAAGCTAATTCAAGGGGCAGAATTGCCTTATAGGGGAGATGAGAAGCATAAAAACGTAATAAATAAATGTATTAGTCATGCCTATTCACGAGAATCTAGTCAACTCACAGCACTAAATGGGCACTTGAGAGGAGTTAACAGAAAATTAGCAGTTAACAGAAGCAGAGGGGGTGGACTTGGATCAATTGTGGGAACGTAACGATTCTAGGCTGCGTCCTGTCTTGACTCCACCGCCTTTTCTCCTCCTACACCCAGGCCCTAATCTGAAGTTGTTAAGGCTCGGTTCCTGGCCCCTCTTCACCTTATACGTCAGCCAGGTTGCTCAGTGCTGAGGGACAGGTGTCCGTCTAGTCCAAAAATGCTAGGCCCGGCCTTGCCTATTTGAGTTTTGACTTTTTCCTCTTCAGGTTCGCTGCTGCCGAGACTGCTGCCCCTCCTGCCAGCACCAGCCAAGGCTCTTCGGCCTTCCTCTTTCCCCCTGCTGCAAAATCGACGCCCGTGGGACCCCTAGGCCTGGCCACGCCTCCTTCTGCCCCGATAAAGGCTTCCACCCCTGTGACTTCCGCAAGTACGGTTCGGCCTCTGCTTTCGCTTCCTTTCCTGGGGTTCTCTCTGCCCTTAGGGCGCTCGAGTGTAATAAGCTGTTGGGAGCAGGCAAGTGTTCCCACCTGCTCTGTTGTGCTCAGGTGACTTAACTAGCCACAGGTAGTGGTCAACCCTCCCAATACACTAGCCAGCAAAAGAATTTCCTTTATTGTAAGGCTACATTAAGAAGAAATCTCCCGCTATCTTTTTCACAGCCTGGGAAGTTTGTCTTTTAGACAGCCCACTCTTTATCTAATCACTCCACTAGGCCTTTAGGTTAGATGAGCGAATCCAATATGTAAATAAAACGAAGCCAATAAATCAACACCTGCCTGTAATCTCCGCCGTAAGAGAGACCACTCAGGCTTATCAGAGGGCCTAAGTCATAACTGACCACCAGCAGCAGTTGTGCCAGCGTGTCACCCTTTTTTGTGTCTCTTGTCTCCAGTGGTGCGTCCACCTCAAAGCGCTCCTGCAGCCACTGGCCTTCAGAAGACGGCCAAGATATCCCCAGCTGTGACAAAATCAAGCCCTGCACAGGTAAGGAGGAATTAGATTGCTTTTCTCTGGATTACAAATTAAGAATCCGGATTTCTACTTGATGCTGGAGAAAGGCAGTATCTGTGGCGCTGCTGAACTGGCAGCGGTCATTTGTTTTGGGCTGCTGAAGGATTATAAAATCCATTTATGGATTTACCCGCCTTTCCCAGACACGACAGCTCCGCTGCAACAGACAGTGTGCCTACAATTCTTTCAACCCATTGTGGGTTTTCTTAGAGTTGCAAAACAACCCCGGGCAGATGGATTGAAGAGTGGCAGATGGATTGAAGCCATGCACTTTGAGGCCACTTTTGGGGGACCCTATTCAAAGCCGTGCACTTCCCTTGTCAGCCCTGTGAGGTAGTCCAGGCAGGTGGGGGGGGGGAGTCCAGCAAGATGAGCTACACTAAGAGAACCTTGCAAGTCTGAAGGCACAAATCTCTTTTTCAGCCTGAGAAAGAAACTGGGGAGGGTCTGAGCGTCTTTCTCCACCCATTAGGCAGCTCCGGGCTATTCCTTCTCTTATCCGACCGTTCCCCAGGCAGCATCTCTCCCTCCCATTCCTCAAGGTCTTTCCCACATACCATTACACCCCTGGAAGATGGAACAAGTGCTGGTTGTTGTCTGTGCATGGGCTCTAAGTATATCTACACCTGTTCTGAAAGTGGGGTGTGTGTTTTAGCTCTCTTCACTCCGGTCATTCGTCCCCCCGATTCTTTGTCACGGATGCTTTTACGTTGCACCTTGTAGAGTCGGCAGCAGCCGGCCGGTGTGGGGACAGAGAAGCAGCCCTGTCAGTGGAGAGAGATGGATCCTGTCATCATCGGAATAAGAGAAGAGGTAAACCTCCGACATCTTTGCCCCTGGGGTGTCTTTCCTGCAGCTTTTGTCTCTGAGTGAGTGGTTGTAAATTGAGAACTCCCCGTAAAAGGAAGGTTTGCACAACGGAGTAGGAAAGTGCATTTTTGATTTGTTACACCAGAAAAAGTCCTACTGAGTATCTCTTGTCTACCTCCACTTCTCCTTCTCTTGAACTGAGCTTTTGTTCTCAACTGTCCGCCGGCCCCGCTTGGCTCCGCAGATCGCCCATTTCCAGAAAGAGATGGAGGAACTCAAGGCTCGAACGGCCAAGGCCTCGTTTCAGGTGGGCAGCGAAGAGGAGAAGAAGATGCTGCGTGTGGAGGCCAACGAGCTGCACACTTTCCTGCTGGAAATCAAAGAGACCACAGAGGTAACGAGGGGCCGGTGAAGTTGCCGGTAACCAAAGGCGGCAGATTTGGGGGAAACAGATCTGTCGTTTGAATTCGATCAGTCAGTCAGAACAGAGCCGGAAGGGACCTTGAAGGTCTTCTAGTCCAACCCTCTGCTCAAGCAGGAGACTCTATGCCATTTTCAGACAGACAGCTGTCCAGTCTCTTCTTTAAAACGTCCAGTGTTGGAACATTCACGGCTTCTGGAGGGAAGCCGTTCCACTGATTAATTGTCCTCACTGTCAGGAAATTTCTCCTGAGTTCCAGGTTGGCTTCTCTCCTTGATGAGTTTCCCTCCACTGTTTCTTGTCCACGGTGCTCTGGAGAACAGGGTGACCTCCTTCTTCTCTGGGACAGTTCCTCAAATATTGGAAGCCTGCTATCATGTCACACACACACCCCCCCCAGTCCTTCTTTTCTCTAAAATAGCCAAACCCAGATCCTGAAATAAATAAATAATTTAAATTAATAATTAGCAATGAAATAATAACATTAAGAGCAGGTTATTTGTTAGATTCAGGCTTTTTTTCCCCTTTCCTCTTATTTTTCCTTTATTATTTTTATTTACTCTACTTTGCCGTGGGTCTCCTGCCTTTACTACTTGTATAAATAATTCGAGGCAGAGAACATATCCAGTGCACCTTCCTACCCCACCTCTTTTCCCCACAACACCAACCCTGTGAGGCGGGTTGGGCTGAGAGAGAAGAGCTGGCCGAAAACCTCCCGGCTGGCTTTCACGGCTAAGGCGGGACTAGAACTCACCACCGCCCGGTCGCTAAATGCACGGTCATAAGTCAGGGACAACCCGTAATGAGTTCCCTCCCTGTCTCTTGCAGTCCCTTCATGGAGACATCAGCCTTCTGAAGACCAATTTGCTGGAAGGCTTTGCGGGGCTGGAGGAAGCCCGGGAGAAGGACGAGCAAGCCCACAACTCCGAGTACCTGCACCTGCTGTACAAGAAGCCTTTGGACCCCAAGAGCGAAGCCCAGCTTCAGGTAGGAGCAGAGCAGCTTCTGCTGGGAACCAAGTAAAGGAAGCTTCCGGAACGTCTGAGCAGGTGCCTTCAAGAATCTCCCCAAGAGGGTCAGGAGACCAACAGGTCCTCTTCTGCTGTTGTTGTCATCTACCGGCTGGTCTGTTGAGGGAAGCTGCCTGAGATTCAGTATCAAAAACTAGTTGCTAGCAATGACCCCCGTCTCCAGGAGCCATGGTCATTTTGCAGTGTGGGAGACACCGAGGAATGAACTGGGAAGGGGAGGAGGAGAGCAAAGGAGAGGAAGAAGGAGGGGAAAGGAGAGGAAAAAGAAGATGAGAGAGGAGAGGAAGGGACAGGAGAGGAGGAAGGAGGAGAGGAAGGGAGGGGAGAGGAGGGGAGAGAGGGAAGGAAGGGAGAGGGGAGGAGAGAGGGGAAAAAAGGAAAGGAAGGAGAGAGAAAAAGAAGAGAAGAGGATGAGTGTTGAATATTCTCCCGGGCAGGAAATTCGTCGCTTGCATCAATACGTGAAGTTTGCCGTCCAAGATGTGAACGACGTTCTGGATTTAGAGTGGGATCGGCACCTGGAACAGCAAAAGAAGCAGAAGTGAGTGATTTAGGATGGGGAATCAAAAAGAAACACACACCCCTTTTTTTTCCTGATATTTTTTACAGGCTTTTTAAGCACGAACAACGCCCTGCTTTGTCAGTTTAGCTGCTGGGTGGTTCAGATCTCAAACGCTAAGTTCACTTTACACAGGGTTTTTTTTTTAATTATTCAGATAATATAACATATTAACTAATATATTGTCACAACAGCCTTGTGACTCCTTCGGAATGAGTGGCCCTTGACGTACGGCCACCCTTGAGCTCCTAATTTCTGTTGCTAAGTGAGACAGTTTTGCCCCGTTTTACAATCTCCCTTGCCACAGTTTGGTGAATGACTGCAGTTGTTCAGTTAGTAACAATGGCTGTTAAGTGAATCTGGCCTTGCTTGTCGGAAGGTCGCACCAGGTAGTCACGTGACCCCCGGAGTGCTGCAATGGTCGTAAGTGTGAAAAGGGGCCTTCAGTCAGTTTTTTTTCCAGTGCCGTTGTAACTTCAAATGGTCACGAAACAAATGGTTGTAAATCAAGAACTACCTCAGAGGAAGCGGCCCTTTTTCTCCTGGACCTTGATGAGAGATTTCCTGATGGGTTTGGGGTTTAGATACGTGAGTTTGGGTGACCCAAACTCGGCAAAGAAAATGATCTCGTTTGATCGGATTCATGAAAGCAGCCAGGTCTCTTCCCCGGATCTCCCAGCCGCAGAGACAGTTCCAGAAAGCGAGGCGGCTATTTTAATGAGCTGCAAGCACAGCCACGTTCTCCTCTTTTCCCTCCGTGCCTTACCTTGTTCTCTCTCCGTGCTTTTCACGCAGGCGTTTAGCTGTCCCCGAGCGAGAGACTCTCTTCAACGCCCTCACTAACAACCGGGAGATCATCAACCAGCAGAGGAAGAGGCTGAAGAAATTGGTAGACGGCTTGTACGAACTCCGTCTTTACAACCAAGTGACGCAGTGGAGCCTGCCCTCTCCCAGTTCTTCTCACAGCGGCATCCAGAGGTGAGGGCTGCTTAAGGATCTCCCAGAAAAGCTTTCCTTCCCAGTCTCCTGTCTTGATCCCTTTGGAAGGAAGGGATTTTCCTGGATTTGTGTGGAAAGAAATCCAACCCTATTTGTAGCTAGGGTTCCAATATCTCAGGGGCTGCCCTAAAGAAGAGGCAGTCAAGCTATTCTCCAAAGCACCAGAAGGCAGGGCAAGAAGCAACGGATGGAAGCTCATCAAGGAGAGAAGCAACCCAGAAATTAACATGAAAGTGAGAACAATTAACCAGAGGAATGGCTCAAGAAGAGACTGGACAACCACTTGTCTGCAATGGTGTAGGGTCTCCTGCTTGAGCAGGGGGTTGGACTAGAGGACCTCTTAAGGTCCCTTGCAACTCTGTTATTCCGCAGTCCAGGTAGTCCTCGACTGACGTCCACAACTGAGCCAAAATTGCTGTTGTTAAGTGAGAATTCTATGTTTTAATTGGATTTGAGAGCGGTGTAACCCTCAACTCACTTTAATTTAATTTTATTTTTTTTCTCCTTGGGTGACAGCCTGGAGAGCGAGCTGGAGAATCTGAGCAACGCCTTGACGAAAGCCACCCTGGAATCTTCCACCGAAGCCTCGTCCCCCTCCGCCGGTAACTAGTCCCTGCTGTTCTCCTCGATCGGGTTCTTCGGAAGTAGTGTGCGCCCTTGCCTCCTTCCTAGGGCTGAGAGGAAGTGGCTGGCTCGGTGTAGTCGTACGCCGAGGACTGCGTGTCTGTGATAAATACATGGCAAACTCCGTGGCAAAGAGTTGCCCAAAATCGAAAGAGCGTTCGTGCAAAGCGAACTACAAGCCAAGAGCTATAAAATGACCTCCTTTGTTCTTCCAGCTAAATTGTCCCTCGTGAAGCAGACTCAGCTAAGGAATTTCTTGTCCAAAAGACAGATGCCCCCCGTCCACTCCATGGCACCAGGTAAATAATTGAAAATATTTTCCATTTCAGGACAAAAAGTGAGCTCCTTTTCCAAATTTGGTGAGTCCCCTTTGGCCACTGAATTCTCATCAGTGATCAGTGTAGTCCTCAAATCCCTTTAATTGTTTATTCTGACTCATGAGATTAGCACGGAGAGTCCTTGATTTACAGGGGTTCATTTAGCCAGATTCACACCCACCATGTTACTCACTCAACAACTTAAAAATGATGGCAAGAAAAGTTGTCAAAATAGGGCAAAACTCGCTTAAGAAACGTTTCAGAAATTTGGGACTTCAATTGTGGCCGTAGGTTGAGGACTACCTGTATTAATAATTCCCTCCCTCCGGGTTTTTTTTTTTTTTTTGGCAGCAACACTGTCGCAGTCGGCTTTCCTGTCTCTGAGATACGACGAAGACCTGGATGAGATTAGTTCCGCCTCTTCGGTTGCCCACTCCTTGGACAACGAGGACCCCGAAGCAGTGGATCAGGAGGAAGTGGAGGTGGTCCCGGTCCCAGCGCCTCGTCACGCCCCGGTCATCCGGACGCCTTCGGTCCAGCCTCCCCTGTTGCCGCAGCCCCCGCCTCTTGGCAAACCCCACATCACAATGGGCACCCTAAGTGAGTCGGCTGAAGAATTGAATAAATTGTACGACACCCAGGGACCCTCCCGGAGGGAGATGGGTGGTTAAGACCTGTGAGAAATGAATGAATGAGGGGGGTCCTTGGTGCTCTATGAGCTTGCCTGTTTTCTTGCGGGCGTTTCATGACCCAGCTAGGTAACGTCATCAGTGCTAGAAGGGCATGGGGTTTGAGGAGGAGGAGATGATTGTGGGGTCCGTGGTGCTCTCTGAGCTTGCTTGTTTTCTTGCAGACGTTTCATGACCCAGCTAGGTAACGTCATCAGTGCTAGTAGGAGGTGGGGTTGGCTATCAGTTTATATTCTGGTGGCTTGCCCTGCTCAGTATTGGTGGTGGTGGTCTTAGAGACTCTTTGGTTGGGCTGTTTGCCGTTGGCCTCTTCGGCAGTAAGTGTGAAAACCAGACTTAAATCCCTTTTTTCGATGCCATCATAACCTTGCTCCCTAAATGAACTCAAGGTCTGCTCACATTATCTGAAACCATCCATTCTAGCTTGCATACGAGATCCCTGGATTGTTTCCCCCAGGGGTCTTTCTCAACCTTGGCCAGTTTTTAAGAACTAAAATATTCCTTTTTAGAAAAAGGTAGAAATGGGTGCCGGCAGTCTAAGGGGTTGAGGTGCGTGACTGAACGATTAGGGGGAAATTTATTTTGTCCCATAAAGATCTTCCACGAGGCGGCTTCAATTGCTTTCTGGAATGGCAGAGAAAACTCTGCTAAGCCCTGGCAGCACTTCCTCCGGTTCATATATTGGGATAATTAGCGTAATTGGCCTCCGAGGAACGCTTACCTTCCATCTGGGAGTCTAGAATTGCAGTCATAAAACAGACTCTGCCTCTGAATCATGGCCTGGATCCAGCTGAAGAGAGGCTGTGTGGTCCTGCCTCTTAAAGGGCTTCTGAAGAGAGCAGAAATTCCTTCTAGGACAGTGTTTCTCAACCTTGACCATTTTAAGGCATGTGGACTTCAACTCCCAGAATTCCACAGCCAGCATTGCTGGCTGTGGAATTCTGGGAGTTGAAGTCCACATGCCTTAAAATGGTCAAGGTTGAGAAACACTGTTCTAGGAGATTTGTCTTTGAAATTGAAAGGGCCTCGGGAGAAGAGGTTCATAGGGTGGAAAGGGAATGAATCCCCCCCCCCATGGCTCAGAATAGACCTTACGGATAATTAAGGGAGCTGGTGAGGGGTACAGATAGTCCTCGACTTAACAACAGTTCATTTAGTGACCATTCAAAGTTACAACGGCACGGAAAAAGGGGACTTGTGACTGTTTTTCAGAGTTAACATCCTTTGCAGCATCCTCATGGTCGCGTAATTAACACGGGACTAGTACGTAGTTCGTTTGGCTTAGCCAGATATTGTAAAATCAATGTTTAAAAGATTCCCCCAATCTGAGCACAGGTCAACTCCCAGAATCCTTAGCAACAAACAAATACCGGATGGAGAATTCTGGGAGCTGAAAAACAGAACTTGCAGAGCCTTTCGGCTCCCAACTTCTCAGCAAAGATGGAGGACCAGCAGGAGGATTCTGGGAGTTGAAGTCCCCTAAGTCCAGGTACTGTGGCTTAGTCAACAAGTCACATTCAGAACAAGCTGTGGTTTGAAGTAGGGGGAAGCCACTAGGGAGAGCAAGTTTCTTCAACCTAGTTTAATAGTCTTGTGGCTGTTTCTTTCGCGTGGTTTGGACTTTGGGGATTATTGTAAGTGAAGATCTTTTCTCTCTCTTCCTCTTCCAGTGTCTGCCCCGAAACCCGTCCTCCCTGGGGCAGAGAACACCGTGTTGGCAACGAAGACTGTGAAACACAGAGCCCCCGTCCCCTCCGTCACTCTCCCAGCCCCCCAAGCTGCTGCGGAAGCTGCCTTGAGGAGACAGATGGCAAACCAGAATCCAGGTGAGCTCCAGGCATAAACTTGGCCCCCCGGTCTACAGGTAGTCCTACCTATTTTGCCCAGTTGGAGACTTACCCTTGCACTAGTAACATCTCCTGCTCCGTTATTCTTATTCCACAGTGGTGAGCACCTCCCTGACCGAATCGACTCTGAAGAACGTCCCTCAGGTGGTCAATGTCCGAGAGCTGAAAAGCAGTGGGTCTCCCCCAACAGTTTCTGCAGCCATGGGGTAGGTAGCTTCTGCTTCCCTCCTGTCTCCTTTTCTAGTAATCTTTTTTTCTTCTTCTTCCCCTCCTTGGATCAAGCTGTAGAAAAATTCTCTTTGTGCTGCTTAGCGGAGCAAAACTCTGCTGACAGCTGGACATTTTGCCTCGGAGAAGCCGGACAATTAGAGAACAATCAGAGTAATAAGACTTTTTAACTCTTCCCCACGAGGTGGGCTGCAGTTCAGCCCCCATAATCCCCACCCAGCAGATGTGGGCTAGAAAGATGATGTGGGGTTCATCCAGCACAGCTGGATTGACCCAACCGAGCAACATCCAGAGGAAAAAGGGTGCACACTTCCCAAAATTAATGAGGTAGAATAATAGGATTGAAAAGGGACCTTAGAGGCCTTCTAGTCCAGCCCCCTGCTCAAGGTAGAAGACTTATACCATCCCACTCAAGTGGCTGTCCAGTCTCTTCTTGACAACCTCCAGGTTCTTGACAACTTCTGGAGGGAAGCCGTTCCACTGATTAATTGTTCTCACTGTCAGGAAATGTCTCCTTAGTTCTAGATTGGGTCTCCCTCTAACAAGCTTCCATTCAGTGCTTTTGTATTCTACACTGGAAGCAGAAAAAAAAATCTGTCAAATGCTGCTGCTTTGGTTTCGGAGTTGGGGAAAGAGCTGGAAGGAAGATGCTCAGCTCTCTCCAGAATTATCCCTGTCCTTTTGTAGCTAGTAAATCAGGGCCTGCAGCAAGTTTGTACAACGTGTATCTGCTAAGCTGCTGCCTGCGAGAGACTATAAATCTTCCTCTTTGTACTCCCACTGCAGGGTGAATCCATTAGTCTTTTGTTTTATGCTGACCCTGAAAATTTTGGCAGGAGTTGCAAATAATGAGCCAGTGAAATTTTATATATTTTTTCCCCCAATTTCTCTGCTGAGAATCTGGCCTGAAGCCACTTCACTGCTCTTAGCTGTACGGTAGCTGCATCAGCCGATTCCTGGCCAAAAGGCTGCAATTCTCATTGTAAATATCGGATTTTCAGTGGGGAAACCTAAATTCTAGTCCCTGCTTGGCCATGGTCTTCCTCCCATGATTTTGTGCCAGCTGCTTAGTCCCAGCCCAGCCTACCTTACTGGACTGTTGTTATGGAAATATAAACTGGGCAAATCTGCCTTGGATTTTCTTTAATTTGGGTTGAGTTCTATCACCTTTTCTCCCTTCCTCTTCCAGCTCGTCAGTTCCTCAAACTGCTGCTCAAGGTGTCCATCAGGTTTTGGCAACCAATCAAGTCCACCAGGTAGGGCTGGTCTCTTGGCAGCTCAGTCCTTCTCTTCAAGGAAGAACGAATGGGTCGAAAGGAAGGGAAAGTGGGAGTAGCTCAGGTTGAACGGTGCTGATAGCGACAGCACTTAAGACTTATACACCGCTTCGCAGTGCTTTACAGCCCTCTTTAAGCGGTTTACAAAGTCAGCATAAGGGCCCCCCCCCCAACAATCTGGGTCCTCATTTTACTGACCTCTCTGAAGGATGGAAGGCTGAGTCAACCTTGAACTGGTCAGGGTCGAACTCCTGGCAGTCGGCAGAATTAGCCTGCAATACTGCATTCTAACCACTGCGCCACCCCTGATAAGGAAAGGAGGGAGGGGAAAGAAAAAAAGAAAGAAAAAGGGAAGATAGACAGACATTTTCCTGAGGCTTCCCTCAATGGAAGTTTCTCATCTCCTGCTTTCTGGACAGATGGGCGCCCTGCCTGTTTTCTAACCAACCCCTTTTGCTTAACATTTTAGGGGCCCCCGTCAAGCACCCTGAAGGCGTTGACGCCACCCAGCTCAGCAGGGGCGACCGTAGCGTCCACCAGCCAGACCCCAGTCGGGAAAAAGAATTCAGGTGAGTTCAGATCAACTGGAAGAGGCTCAAAGCACCAAAAGTGGAAGCAAAACCTCTGCCTTCAGCCTCTTTCCTGGTGCCTTACAGGATGCAGAAAAACAGAGCTGGAAGGGACCTTGAAGGTCTTCTAGTCTAACCCCCACTGAGGTCGTTTTCTTGCCAAAAGTTATTTATTTTTTTTGTTTTTAAATAAATTAAAAAAAGACCTCCACTGGGCTTTTCCGCTTAGCAACGGAAACATTGGGCTCAAATTGTTGCAAGTCGTAAATCGAGGACTACCTGTAAGAAGATTCATTCTTTGCAGCGCCTTGCCAAGCCCTCTCCTTCCACTTTCCACCTTTGGCCCATTCCAAGGGCCTTTCTTTCTCATTTCCCCACCCTCAGCAGACAGGCGTATTTTTCTCCCGAGGCTCCAGCACAGGATCCGTCTCTGAGACTATCAGAGGAGACAGAAGGAAAGCAAATCTGACAGCATCTTTGACCTTGCTGAGTGCAGCAACATCAGGGGGAACCCCCCCCCCCAAAAAAAAAACAAGAGATGGAAAGAACAAAAGTCCCAGTGATTAAAATCCGGATTTTAAATGATATGAAGCCAGTCTGGCTTTCCCCCATTGGCTTGTCAGAAGGGGGATCGAGTGATCCCGGGACACTGCGGCCGTCATAAATACCAGCCAGTTGCTAAGCATCCCCATTTGGATCACGTAACCCTGGGGATGCTACAACAGTCGTTACGTCTCAAAAGCGGTCCCAAGTCACGATTTTCTGGGCCGTTGTGACTTCGAAGGGACGCTAAATGGATGGATTTAAGTCGAGAAGCTTCCTGTGTTTGTTTATTTCCAAGATCTGCCTGGCTGCTCGTCTTGCTGGCAACCGCAATAACATTCCAAAAGCTGAAATTCAAGACTTAGCACCTCCATCTTCCACCTAAGAATACCCCAGCAGCCACCCACGGGGTCTCTCCTCAATTAACCCCACTGCCTGGGTAAAGAACAAACCTTTACAGCCTGCCAGAAAGCTAAAAAAGTGGGGGCCGCCCAGATGTGGGGCATTATCCCACATTTTCAATTACACACCATTTGGATAGATTTAAGCCTAATCCCTTCTTAACAAATGCTGAAGCCAGGAGCTGAGTTTCCGCCAGTGCTAAAGGCACGTATGCAGCCACTGGAAGCGTAACTCAATTTTTGGTAAGAGAGTTTGAACTCCGTAGAATAAGATCTGAAGAGGAAAGACAGGGCAACCAATGAACCAACTTAGGATAGCTATCTTCTTTTTTCAAACCCGATTATCCTTTCTGTCCTTCTTCTCTTTGTAAGACCTTGGGTGGCCAACGGAGCGTTGAAAATGTCGCCGCTCAGAACAGGCCCAGAGACAGAGGTCTGCAAACGGGCAGGAATAATCACGCGCTGAAGCTGCCTTGAGCAGATCAGTCAACTTCCCTGCCGTGGGTCAGCTGAGCCGCCCGCTCTGAGCTTTGCAGCACACTCAGCAAAAGCGTGCAGGTGTGCCACAGAGAGCCACACCGAGGAAGTCGAAGCTTGGGGTCTCGGTGAGCTGAGGGACGCAGGAAGGTCGGAGAAGAAGAAAAATGGGACCGTGCAACGTTCACGAGTTGGGAGAACTGAAAGGCTTCTGCTTTCTCAGCTCTCTGTTCCCGATGTTTAGCGAGTCTCCGCTGACTGTAGAAAGTGGGGGAAACCTGTTCTTAAGGTTGATATTCCTAAATGCCTCTGGGTGGTGGTTATAAACCTTGGATGCCCTGGAATCTACCGAAAATCCTTGGTGCTCTCTGAGCTGGTTGTGTTCTTGCAGACGTTTCGTTATCCAGCTAGGTAACATCATCAGTGCTAGAGAGGAGGGGAGTGGTGGTGGAGGAGGAAGAGGACTGGGGGCTCCTTGGTGCTCTCTGAACAATGCTTTTCATGCATTCATTATCCAGCTAGGTAACATCATCAATGCTAGAGAGGAGGGGAGTGGTGGAGGAGGAGGAGGACTGGGGGGGTCCTTGGTGCTCTCTGAGCTTAATGCTTTTCATGCATTCATTATCCAGCTAGGTAACATCATCAGTGCTAGGAAGGTTTGTGTAGGGAAGGAGGAGAAGAGGAGGAAGGGGGGGGGAGAGGAAGAGGAACAGTCATCCTTCTCTACCTCATCAACTCCATCCCCTTCTATCACTGATGATGTTACCCAGTTGGGTCATGAAACGTCTGCAAGGAAACAGCCCAGCTCAGAGAGCACCAAGGACCCCAACCCTGAGCTACAAATATCGTTTTCTATTGAAATGTTTCTTTTGTATGAAATGTGCACCTTTGGTGCCACCAGGATTTCCTCTCCGGGGGGTGGAGAATCACACCTTGCAAAGCCATCAAAATTTGTTCCTCGGAAGGAAGGTGGGACACTAAATAGAAACAGCGCAGAGGTGCCTGGAAATGTCGGGCAGAGAATGCAGGATTTTTCGGTGTTTGGGTGATTCTCTAACTTGGGCAACTCTTTCTCGCTCTCTTACAATCCAGGCTCCACAAAGGCTGTTGCAGCTGTCGCCACGCCGGCAGTGACGTCCATCTCGGCCGCAGCTTCCCAATTCAGCAAGGACTTCACGTTCGCCCCATCAGGGTCAGTACTGACCATCTTTTCATCCTTTCCTCTCTTTTCAAAGCCTCGTGTGGCCTTTTAAAGGGGTGGCTTCTTATAGCGGATGTAGCACCAAGCAGTGATTCTAGAGACTCGGGTTTCAGCTTTGCCAGGCAGCTCGCCCTCAAAAGGAGAGTCCTAGCTGTACTTGGGGGACATTGCGAGCAGGATAAGAGCTAAGACACAACTTTTGAGTCTTGGCCCCTTCCAGAAGGTAGGCACCATCTCCCAGAATTCCACAGCCAGCACGGTTTCCGCAAAGCATCCTGGGAAGAGGAGTCCCCACCTCCAGAAATTGCCACCGTTGGAAAACCAGGCATTACAAGCAGTAGTCCTTGAGTTACCATCATTGATTTAGTGACCGTTCAAAGTTACAGCTATCCGGGGTCCTGGCCGGATAGAAGCAACAGATAAACCTTGCGCCGCCCACCGAGGCCATTCTTACAAACGGGGTGCCATGTTTGTTTGTTTTGTTTTCAAATTTAGGCCTGGGTTTAACTTTGCTGCGGTCCCTGTTTCGGCTGCGACGTCGGCCTCTTCTGCTTTGGCAGGTAAGGTTTTGGTATAGGTTCTCCTGCTTGAGCAGGGGGTCAGACTAGAAGACCTCCAAGGTCCCTTCCAACTCTGTTATTTGGAAGAGAAGGGGAGAAGGGTCTCCTGCTTGGGCAGGGGGTCAGACTAGAAGACCTCCAAGGTCCCTTGCAACTCTGTTATTCGGAGGAGAAGGGGAGAAGGGTCTCCTGCTTGGGCAGGGGGTCAGACTAGAAGACCTCCAAGGTCCCTTCCAACTCTGTTATTCGGAGGAGAAGGGGAGAAGGGTCTCCTGCTTGAGCAGGGGGTCAGACTAGAAGACCTCCAAGGTCCCTTCCAACTCTGTTATTCGGAGGAGAAGGGGAGAAGGGTCTCCTGCTTGGGCAGGGGGTCAGACTAGAAGACCTCCAAGGTCCCTTCCAACTCTGTTATTCGGAAGAGAAGGGGAGAAGGGTCTCCTGCTTGGGCAGGGGGTCAGACTAGAAGACCTCCAAGGTCCCTTGCAACTCTGTTATTCAGAGGAGAAGGGGAGAAGGGTCTCCTGCTTGAACGGGGTCAGACTAGAAGACCTCCAAGGTCCCTTCCAACTCTGTTATTCGGAAGAGAAGGGGAGAAGGGTCTCCTGCTTGGGCAGGGGGTCAGACTAGAAGACCTCCAAGGTCCCTTCCAACTGTATAATTTTTATTCATTCTGTTACTCTTTTGGCAGCTGCAGCCACCCCAGCAAAAGAGCTGAACCAGCCTGAAGCTTTTTCCCTTGGAGGAGGAATGAAATTTGCCCCCGCACCGGAGACCTCTTTTTCTTTTGGGGGGCCCAAACCCCCCACCCTTTCTGGCCCCTCGGCCCCTGGGAGCACCAGCTCTGGGGATCCGGGCCAGAGCAACGGACAGCGCCGCCTCTGAAGGGAAGGGAAACCTTTGTGGGGGTTTGGCCTCCCGGAGGGGGAGTTCGTCCCGCTAGGCCGGGAGGTCCGGAGGTGCCGGCCTCTCTGAAACCCGTCGAAGAGGCCTGACTCCCAACCGGTTCGGCTCCTCTTGCAGTTCCGGCGAGGCCGGTTCCCTGGGAGGGGGTCGCGGGGTCCCTGCGTCGCGCCTGGACCTCCGGTTGGCAACACTCTGCCGGCGAGCAAGCCTGCAGACCCCAGCCCCACCCCTTTGACCACAGCGGCCAGTTCGACGGCCGGTGGCATCTTTGGCAACGTCCACGTGGTCCATCCTGGCCCTCCCAGCCTCTTCGGTCTCGCAGCACCGGCGGGCGGTGGGAAGACTCCGTTTGCCTTTGGGGGTCCTCAGGCCAGCGCCCCCCAAGCGTCATCTTCCTCGTCTCCGGCCCTCCCGCCGTCCACCACGGCCCTCTCCTTTGGGAGTCTCTTGAGCTCTGCAGCCACGCCGAGTAAGGGAGAGGAAGACGTCCAAACGAGCCCTCCCGAGAAGCCGCCTCTGGCCGAGGGGGCCGCGTTGCCCACGGCACAGGATGACCCCCAGCCCTCTGTCCTGGCCCCTGAGCAGCGTCCGGCAGAAGCGGCCCCTGTAGCAGCTGCAGAGACCAAAGGAGGGCAGCCGACTGCTCCTTCGGAAGCCACACCTGGCAAAGAGCCGAGTCCCACTTCGGCGCCTGGCGAGCCCAAGACCGAGGGGCTTCTTCCTCCGGAGGGCCCTGCAGAAGAGCAGCCCCCGGCCTCCTCGCCTCCAGTGGCCGTCAGTTCCCAAGTCACGGAACCCACGGCCTCCTCTGCAAACACAGCAGCGTGCACGCAAGCGCCGGCCAGCAGCCCCTCTGCCTTTACACCAGCAGTCTCCACCTCTTCTGGCTTCGCACAGCCCTCTGGACTCCCCCCTCCTCCTCCTCTTCCTCCTCCTCCTCCTCCTCCTCCTCCCTCCTCCGGCTCGGCCTTCAGCCAGCCCACCGCTGCGGGCTTGACCAACCCTTCTGCTCCACCCGTCTTTGGTCAGGTCTCTGCGGAAGGCCTCCCGGTCTCCTCTCCCTTCGGCCAACCTCCGGCCACCTGCCCGTCTTCCTCAGCCGCCGCTACTGGGTTCAATACCTCGGTCTTCGGGACCGCAGCCACCCAGGGCTTCGGCCAGTTGGCGTTTGGACAAGCCCCTGTTTTTGGCCAATCCGGCAACACATCGAGCGGCTTTGCGTTCAACCAGACGGGCTTTGGAGCTCCTCTGACTTTTGGGCAGGCGGCGGCTTCCGCCACCCCGGCGTCCAGCAGCGGGAACGTCTTTGGGGCAGCGTCCAGCACCAGCACGGCCAGCTCCTTCTCCTTTGGACAGCCTTTAACCGCTTCTGGACTTTACGATCCAAGCAGCGCCCCTGTGTTCGGGCAGAGTTCCGGCTTTGGACAGAGCGGGGCCATCTTTGCCAGTCCAGCGTCCATGACCACCACCACCCCAACCTCTTCGGCTGGGTTCAGCTTTTGTCAAGCTTCCGGTAAGGCCAACAAGGTCAGGGATGTCTGGGGGGACTCTCGGTCATCGTTCTCCCAAAGATGCTTTCCCACAACGCAACTGGACTTCCTTGTTTTTCTTTGAGGACCTTTCGCTTCTCATCCAAGAAGCTTCTTCGGCTCTCCATGGATGATCTTTAAAAAAAACAAGAGTCCAGTCGCCTCGTGGAATAGCACCTTTGGGATCAGGCCAGGGATGGGATGGCAGGTGAAAGAAAGGCCCTCTGGATGACCCTCATCGGAGTCCCAAAGGGTGCCGGGTTCGTTTTACCTGCTGCAGGTAATCCTTGACTGAGAACAGTGATTGTTCGAAATTACAACGACGTTGAAAAAAAGGGACTTGTGGCCAGTCCTCGCAGCTACGACCATCACGGCATCCTCACAGCTCACAGAACCAAAACTCAGGTTAACCTGCAACCGGCGTGGATGAGTCAGTTGCCAGGCATTCCAGCGTTTGATCACACGACCACGGTCGCACGTGTGAAAAAATGGCCACAATCCCTTTTTTTTTCAGCGCCGTTGTAGCTTTGAATGGTCACTAAATGAACAGCTGTAAGTCAAGGACTTACCTGTATCACGCCTAAAATTGTTCAGAGTCACCCAGAAATGAAAACGGGCCAAATTCTGGAATTCAAATGTCCGTGAATTGTCGCCAGGGAATACATTTGCCTCTCCCCACGTTGTAGCAGCGGAGAGATTAACCGTCGGAGAAGATGGCTTTTGCGAATTTAGTTTTTATCCTGACCTCGCCCGACCCGTTTCCTGACTGGAATCCCAGCTTAGGCAGCTTTAAATGTTGAGCCAAAATTGTGCAATTTGAATTGCATTTGAAATTGGCTGTTCTGGGGGGGTCTGTTTTGCTTAAGAGGAGAAGGCAGCCCGGAGCACAATCGGAGTAATTCCTCTTTTGCAAGGAAATGGGAATTATACTTTCTCCAGACTCCTTGCACCCAAGGCTGGAGGACTAATCAGGTTAACCACACCAGCGGCCCATTTTCGGAACGAATCTCTGCTTAATTACTGGGACAAAAGAATATTTTAAGAAAAGAATCCTGCTCTGTAATTATAACTTGCGCAGAAGTGGGTTGGGAAGAGCTGGGAGATTCCTTTTAATCAGAATACTTCATTATCGGTCATAGGAAAGATGTAGGATTAACAGAGCCGAGTTTCTCTCGGCTGAAAAGACCTGGGATTTTTTTAGGATTTGCCTAAAAAAAAAAATGGGGGGGGGGAAGCAGTAAGGGCATGCTTTGATCCTCAGCCTTGCAAGGGCCGTGTTTTCTCCCGTTAACATGTAGTTCTCGGCTTACGGAAGCAAAAATGTCCATCGCTAAGTGAGCCAGGCCCGATTTTACGATCTTTATTGCCAGGGTTGTTAAGCGAATCAGGGCAGTTGTTAAGGGAATCAAGAGGTCATTGAGTGAAATGGGCTTCCTCTCTCCCCCCCCCCCCCACTGACTTGGCTGGTTGGGAAGGTCACCGATGACCATCACAGGACCACAGGAGGCTGCAGCCACCATAACTGCCATATAAAGGGGAGGCACAGAAAATCAGGAAGAGACCAAGTTGTGTCTCCCTTCCTCTTCCTTCTCCTCTTCCTCCTTCCCTTCCCCTTTCCTCTTTTTCCCCTTCCTCTTCTCGTCCTCCTTCCCTTCCCCTTCTTGTCCTCCTTCCCCTTCCCTTCTATGTTGAACTCAGACCTCATAATTCACAAAGTATTAATCAATCAATTGACCGTAGTCTCCTCACTGTCCACATTACGTAGAACGTGGGTTGATGTACTGGTAGCCACATATCATATCTTCGAATGTGATGATGCCAAAAAAACACCCCAAAAATTTACGATCAGACATCTAATGACCTTTGCAACGTCTCTGTGGTCACGCGATCAACATTGGCATCTCCGAATGGTCACTAAACAAATGGTTGTAAGTCAAGGATTATTCGTATGGGTAAAACCGCCAGTGTTTGGTCTTCGCAAGCTGTTTAACCTCCTGTTTTTGCGGGTTTTTGTTTCCTCTCTGATTCTTTTCAGCGTTTGGTTCCAGCAGCCCAAGTACCGTATTTGGCCAAGCCACCAACGCCAGCGGGACCCTCTTCGGCCAGGTAATTCTTCCAAACCAGCTGTCTTCCTTTCTGGGGGCAAAAACTGCACTGGGTCTGATCGAAAGAAAATACTGTAAAGTTTGCTTATAATTGAAATCAACAACCACTTCAGTATGAGCCAGCAGTGTATTGCTGCAGCCAAAAAGGCCAACGCAGTCCTAGAAATTTCACGACAACGAGAACAATTAGCCAGTGGAACAGCCTGCCTCCTGGAATTGTGGACGGAGATCTTTAGGAAGAGACTGGACAGACATTTGTCCAGAATGGTACAGGATCTCCTGCTTGAGCAGGGGGTTGGACTGGAAGACCTCCAAGGTCCCTTCCAAACTCTGTTATTCCATATTCTGTATCCAAGATCAAAATCAACCCATCAGTCTGGACTGGCAGAGAAGCACGTCTCTTTATCATCAGGTTCTTGGGGTGCAGGGGAGGTGATGGTCCTGCTCGGTGTTGGCCCCATTCTTTGGGACACTTTCTCCCCCCATTTCTTACCTGCTGTCTGGCAGATCAGAAAAAAGGACATGGGTTGTTTTTCTGAAAATTTGGACCTCCCATGGCCTGTGGCAAGGGCAGATGAAAAATGTAAAGGAGATAAAATCAATACTCTCTGTTGTTACGCTGCAAATCTGAACAATTTGGAATCGTCAGGAAAACCAGCTCTGGAGACAGTCAACAAGTTTTATATCTATTTTTGAACTATCAAGATTTCCTCCTAGGCACCCCCAGAGTTGCACAAATGCTGCTTCTCTGTTGCTGATTGTCGTTTCGACGGGCTTTCAAACATATAAATCCGCCTCCCCTTTCATTTTGTTTGAATGTCTGAATATCCTACACTCGAGATTGCAAACAGCAGGAGTTGGACAGTCGCTCGTCTGAAATGCTATAGGCTTTCCTGCTTGAGCCCCTAAGGGGTTGGACTAGAAGACCTCCAAGATCCCTTCCGGTTCTATTATTCTCTGACTTTTCATGCCAGAGTATCTAGCAAGGCTTTTTTTTTTTAATCGGACACGGTCGGTCTAAAATTCTTTGTTTGGTCTTTCACAGCCATCCTCTTCTGGCGGGGGTCCGTTTGGATCCGGCAGTGGTGGGAGAACGGGGGGCTTTTTCAGCGGCCTGGGCGGGAAACCGAGTCACGAGGCGGCCAACAAGAACCCCTTCGGTTTCACCAGCAGCAGTTTTGGCTCATCAGCCAGTCAAAGTAAGTACAACTGAGCGCTCGCCCATCCCAGCCTCCCAGTTGAATAGCAGTCTCTCTGCAAGCTGCAGATCTGCAGGGCAAACCTGCACGGCCAGTCCTCATTTAGTGACTGTTCAGAGTTACAACGGCACTGAAACAAGGGACTTATGACCGCTTTTCACACCATAGCAGCATTCCCACGGTCACCTGGTCGGAATTTGAACCCTTGGCAACGGATGGTCGTTTATGACGGTCGCAGCGTCCCCGGGTCACATGAATCCCTGCAGTTGTTAAGCTAGTCACACGGCTGTTAAGTGGAGTGCTACTTATGACCGCATCTGAGCCCACAATTTTGGTGGCTAAGCGAGACATTGGTTGAGCGAGTTTTGCCCCACTTTACGACCTTTCTTGTCACCGTCACTAAGCGAACCCCTGCAGTTGTTAAGTTCGTCACATGCTTGGTTTTTTTTTGGTTTTTTTTTTAAACCAACAAAACATAACACACATACACACACAGTGTATACTCCTCCCTTTTTTTTTAACAGCAATTTCGTAACAGTAATCTTCTATTATTTACATTTCCCCCCCTTATTCTTCTTTAGAATATTTGTCCTTGTTGTCCCGTTGTTTTTATTATACACACATTTCCCACTTTTGACCTTTCCACATTTATTTTCCTCTATTATTTCTAGTCTCCCACAAGTCATACCACTTGTTCCATATTCCTTTTCTTTTATCTCTTTTGTTAATTTGTCCATCTCTGCACAAGTCCAGGATTTTCTTTATCACTTCTTCCTCTGATGGTATATTCTCATTTTTCCAGAACTGTGCATATGCTATCCTTGCTGCCGTTGTTATATGTAGAATTAAGTACCTTATTTCTTTACTATATTTTCTGTTTGAAATACCCAGCAAAAAGATCTCTGGTTTCCAGTCTACGGGTTGGTCTATTATTTCTTCGATCCATCTTCTTATTTTAGTCCAGTATTTTTTCGCAACTGGGCACGTCACATGCTTGTTAAGCGCGTCTGTCTTCCTCCGTTAACTTGGCTTGTCAGAAGGTGATCCCGTCACCCCGGGGCGCTGCTCATCGTCATAAACACGAACCGGTTGGGTTTTGATCACGTGACCCTGGGGACGCTGCAAACAGTCACTAAATGAACGGTTGTAAGGCGAGGATTACCCGTAGTTTTACCCTGGCAAGAAAGGGAGAGAAACCTATTGTTTCACCCTCCTTTCCCCACCGCAGATACATCGACTCTTTTTGGAAACAGCGGCGCCAAAAGTTTTGGGTTTGGCACCGCTTCCTTTGGCGAGCAAAAGCAGATGGGCACCTTCAGCTCCAGTGGGGGAAGCGTCGCATCCCAGGGCTTTGGGTTCTCCAGCCCCACCAAAACAGGTATTGAATTTCTGCAGGATTCAACCTGGGCCGGTCAGAATTAAATTATTTAGGCTATTTATGATTAATTACGCACCCTCTGCTATTAGATCAGCACCACCTTCAAAATAGCCCCCTGTCTAATTTGGCGGTGGGCAGAGTTAGAGATAGCCCTCCACTTAATAACCACAGATGAGCCCCAAATTTTCTGTGGTCAAGTTGTCAAGGTGTGTTTCCCCCCCCCTCTTAACGACCATTCTTGAACCACTGCCCTTGTTAAGGTAGTTACACGGTCGTTAAGCGGATCCGACTTCCACCGTTGACCTTGCTTGTCAGAAGGCCCCAAGGGGATGACGTGACTCCGGGACGCTGCGACCGTCCTAAATACGAGTGTCCCAGTTTGGATCCCCTGACCGTGTGGGGATGCTGCCACGGTCCTAATGCGAAAAATGCTCCCTAAGTCGCTTCCTTCAGCCTGGGTAACTCCGAACAGTGTCACTAAACGAACGGTTGAAAGTCAAGGACTACGTATAATTTACGATATCCAGGACAAGCTACGGCTGCTTCAGCAAAGCCCACCAGATTCCCTTCCGTCCTCCCAGCGGCCTGCTTTTTTTTTATTTTGACCTCCCTTCTCTCTTTCTCCTCCTTTTATTTTTTATTTTTATTTTTCAGATAGTTGTGTTTGCAGCCAGGGGGGGTATCTGTTACATTGGCCTAGACTGAAATTTCACCCAGGGGTATTAAAAGCCTCCGTGGTCCAAGGAGAGCTGTGGCCTCGCCGGCTCTCGGACCGGCCTGTGGCTTGGGCAAAGGAAAATGAAAATCTGAAAGGCTCGGAGGAGATTTTGGGAGAGGACACGGATGGCAAACCTGCTGCGGCTCCTTACGTTCTCTCAGGAAAGCTTTTGCCTGACGGGAAAAGGAGAGTCGGCAGAGGTTACAATGAAAACAGAGGCGATTCTTGGTCCCGGTACTCCCCAACTTACAACAGTTCATTTAGTGACCAGTCAAAGTTACAGCGGCACTGGAAAAAGTCACTTACGGGCGTTTTTCACACTTCTTGCCCCATCCCACTCGATCTAGCAGAAGACGGTGCTGAGGAAGGGAGAAAAGGAAGGAAGGGAGGAAAGGGAAGGAAGGAAGGAAGGAAGGAAGGAAGGAGAAGGGAGGGAGCTATAGAAAAGGAAGGAAGGGGAGGGAGGGAGGGAGGGAGAAAGAAGGTGGGGGAGAAGCAAGGGAAAGAAAGGAAGGAAAAGAAAAAGGGGAGAGAAGGAAAGAAAGGAAGGAAGGAAGGAGATGGGAAGGAGAAAAGGAAGGAAGGGAGAAGGAGGGAAGGAAGGAAGGAGAAAAGGAAGGGAGAAGAGGGAGGGAAGGAAGGAAGGGAGAGAAGGAAGGAAGGAAGGAGAAAAGGAAGGGAGAAGGAAGGAAGGAGATGGGAAGGAGAAAAGGAAGGAAGGGAGAAGAGGGAGAAAAGGAAGGAAGGGAGAGAAGGAAGGAAGGAAGGAGATGGGAAGGAAGGGAGAAGGAAGGAAGGGAGAGAAGGAAGGAAGGAAGGAGATGGGAAGGAAAAAAGGAAGGAAGGAAAGAGAAAAGGAAGGGAGGGAGGAGAAGGGAGGGAGCTATAGAAAAGGAGGGAAGGGGAGGGAGGAAAGGAAGGAGATAATATGCTATAGGAAGAGAAGGAGAGGAAAGGGTGGGAGGGAGAAAGAAGGTGGGGGAGAGAAGCAAGGGAAAGAGAGAGGAAGGAAAAGAAAAAGGGGAGATGAAGGAAGGAAGGAAGGCAAATAAGAGAGAGGAAACGAGGAAGGGAAGAGGATCAAGGAAGAAACCCGCAGGGCCAACCCTCCCTCTTCTGGGCCCTGGAGAAACAAAGCCAGGCTCAGCAAGACTCCCCCCACAATCCCCCCCCCCTCCCAGCCTGACGGTCATCCTTCGCTGCTCCTTTCCGAAGAAGAGACTGGGCGGTCTCTGAGCAGAAGCCGCTGGCCTCAAGGGACCGGCCCATCTGCACGGCAGGCTGAAAGGAAAAATGAGGGTTTCCCGGGCAGGGCCGATGCTCCAGACTCACAAAAAGAGGCCGGGCTTCCAGAGGGTGGCATTTTGGGGGGGGGGGCCAGCCGGCCCCAGAGGAAGCCCCACTTGGCTACCGGTTGTTTCCCCCCTCAATTAGCAGGTCAGGCGGAGATCTCTGAGAGGCTTCCTCCTCCAGCCTCGCCGACATGGTTGCGTTTTCCCAGCGCGATCAGAATTGCTACCTTAGCAACTGCTCTCGCAGGCGGCGGCGGTGTTTTTGCTTTTCCCCCCCCCCTTCTCTTCGCTCCTTCGGGCTGCAAGCTGCAGGCCGCAGCGGCTTCTGCAGCCGCCCTGCCTCTCTCCTCGCATGCGGGCTCCCCCCTTCCTGCCCTCTTCCTCCTCCAGCCCATGTCCAAAGGCTTTCTGCTTCAGACCATGCCTGTTGAATGCCGGCCTCCCTTCGGCAGTAAGTGCGTGGCGGCGCAGGGTGTTTTGTGCCTGGGGCTCGGATGCCGGGGTTGGGGGTTTGTGCTGATGTGGGAAAAAGGGGGGAAGGCTTGCTTCTTGAGCCTCTGGAGTGCAGGGTGGGTACTGCAGGACCCTTCCCCTGGCCTGTCCCCCAGACCCAGCTCAGGCTTGTCTCTCTTGTCCCCGGGGTGCTAAGATTTCCCACGCTCCGGCCGAGAATTAAAAATGTATGTTGAGAGGAAGGCAGGCCTTTTGCTGCAGACCCAGCTGGTCCTCAACGGCTGAAATCCTGCGGGCAGCCCAGGTTTAGGGAATCGCCCTTCAATTTGGGGGTCAAAATGCTTTACCGGGAAGTTGGGGGCTGCTCGTGGTAGGAGCATGCTCCGGGCTGAGCTTCAGTGGAGTTGTTTGGGGTTGATGTTGATGGGGGGGTGGTGTTGATTGATGTGTATCTCTCTTTTTTTTGCCTCTGTTTTGCTCAGGTGGCTTCGGAGCTGCTCCAGTGTTCGGCAGCCCTCCCACTTTTGGGGGTTCCCCCGGGTTCGGAGGGGTGCCAGCATTCGGTTCAGCCCCAGCCTTTTCAAGTCCTCTGGGCTCGGCGGGAGGCAAAGTGTTCGGTGAAGGGACCGCGGCGGCCAACACGGGCGGATTCGGGTAAGCTGGCAAAAAGGCACTCCTGTGTTTCTAGACCTCATGATGTCCCTTCCATCCTTGCATGCATGCATCACTTCCCGTCATCCAGCTCCCTGCCTTGTTTTTCGGGAGGGAGGGAAAGAGGAAAGGAAGGAAGTAGAGAGGGGAGGGGAAAGAAGGAAGAATAGAAAGAAAAGAGGGAAGGAAATAGGGAGGGGAAGGGATGAATATCTAATCCTGATCCCTGTGGCATTCCTCTCTTCTTTTGGTCTACCGTGTTGGGCTACCAAGAAGGGGCTATGCACCAGCCCAGCCATGTCCTCTTTGTAGCCTCCTAACCCCACTCTTCTCTCTCTCCCTCCCTCCCCACTCAGCTTCGGCAGCACGGCCAGCACCGTCTCCTTCGGCACACTGGCGAGTCAGAACACCCCCACCTTCGGCTCCCTCTCTCAGCAGCCTACAGGTTTTGGCACACAGGGCAGCGGCTTCACTGGCTTTGGGTCCAGCGGAGGAGGTAGGAGAGGGAGGCTGGGAAGGGAAGGGACATGGTCCGTGGTCTTCTCTGGGAGAGTTAGTTGGCCAGGGAAGGGGGAAAAGGGGAGGGAGGGAAGGGAAGGGAAGGGAAGGGAAGGGAAGGGAAGGAAGGAAGGAAGGAAGGAAGGAAGGAAGGAAGGAAGGAAGGAAGGAAGGAAGGATGGAGAAAAAGGGGTTAAGAAGATGAGAAAGGGGGAGGGAAGGGAGGACAGAAAGGATGGAGGAAGGAAGGAGAAAAAGGGATGAAAGAAGATGAGAAAGGGGGAGGGAAGGGAGGAAAGAAAGGACGGAGGAAGGAAGGAAGGAAGGAGAAAAAGGGATGAAAGAAGATGAGGAAGGGAGGAAAGAAAGGAAGGAAGGAAGGAGAAAAAGGGATGAAAGAAGATGAGAAAGGGAGAGGGAAGGGAGGACAGAAAGGATGGAGGAAGGAAGGAAGGAGAAAAAGGGATGAAAGAAGATGAGAAAGGGAGAGGGAAGGGAGGACAGAAAGGACGAAGGAAGGAAGGAAGGAGAAAAAGGGATGAAAGAAGATGAGAAAGCGAGAGGGAAGGGAGGACAGAAAGGAGGGAGGAAGGAAGGAAGAAAAATGAGAAAGGGAAAAAGAAGAAAAGAAGTAAAGAATTTGAAAGAGGAGATATTAAATTAATGTTAAGGAGCTGACCGAGAAACCAGAAGTCGGTGAATTCTAGTGCCGCTTAGACGTGAAAACCGTCTGGGTGACTTTGGGCAAAACACCAGGAGGCGGTGAGTTCTAGTCCAGCCTTAGGAAGCATGGGGTGCTTCTCTTTCAGCCCAACCCACCTCACAGGGTTGTGGGGGGGGAAATAAGAGGGGGAAGGAGCATTAGGTCGGTTCACCGCCTCGACTTTCTTCTAAGATAATAAAAGTGGGATCAGATCAAATAATTTTTAGGGTTTCTTACGTGGAAAGAAAAGCGTTTTGAATCCTGCTTTGAAACCCTTTGTCTTTTTTTCTTTTTGTCAATGTTTGCAATTCCTTCTTTGTAACTAGTAATCCTTTCTTTTCTTTTTCTCCCTCTTTTTCTTTTTTTCCTCCCGTAGGATTTGTCTTCGGATCATCGAATGCGTAAGTCCAGATCTCTGCCTTATGCGCTTTCTAGCCGCTGCGTTCCATACGCGAAAGCCTTCTTCTGGGGCTAAAAGATATTAAAAACGCTAATCCCGGTTGAATTTTTTTTAATCAGCTGGAGGAGAGGCCGGCTTTGTTGGGCCTCTTATGTCTCCTTGTAAGAGCATTAATGGAAAAGCCGAGGATCTGGCGGGTGATTCTCCGCCTGGAGGGGATCCAGCCGCGGAAATCCGCTGTTCTCTCCCCATCCCCGGCTGCTTGTCTATCAATCGAGACGGTAGTTTAGCGACCGAAACTTTCAGCTCCACTGTGGTCGTAAGTCGAGGTCCCAAACAGAGCCGGTTCAGTCTCAAATCAAACCAACTTTGATTCAATTTCTCGTAATTATTATTATTATTTTTTTCCTCCTTTTAGATCCCCCTCGGGATTCAGCGGCTGGAGAAGCTGAACAGACGACGGCTCTTTCGCTGTTCTGGGACTCTTCTTTTTTTAAATGTCGCTTCCGCCGACTTTTTATACCAAACCACAAAAAGAGGGAGGGGGGGGGAAAGCCTCGTGAAATTGCCTATTTTTTTTCTTCTGTTGTTGTTGTTGTTAACGGAAACGTTGCTTGGCCTCTCTAAATAAAGCTATTTTATCTGCTGGTCTTTGAATTCCGCCTTGGCAAAACTCAAAGCCCAGAGAGGTGTTTTGTGGGTTGTTTTGTTTTGTTTTCGACAGGGATCCATTGGGTTCCTTTTGACAGGATCTGTTAGAGACCTGCTTGTCCTCAGGTTGTGACCTTGTCTAACTTGGGACAGCTTGTAAGGCAAGTTGTTCGGCGGACCGATGCGTTTTTATTGCCTTTTTGGGTCGTTAAGCGAATGCCACGGACATTAAGTAAACCGCGGTTCGGCACAGACAAAGTTTTCTCCGAAACTGGAAGTAAATGCTTGGGGGGGGGGGGTTTGCGAACCCGTCATAAAACACAGTCAAATGACTGCAAAACACTGTAAATATGACTCAGTTATCAAATGTATGAAAGGCAGTCGCGTGACTGCAGCGATGGGGGGGGGGGGACGACCATGGGGACTTCATATCCATCACATAGGTACCCCCCACCACCCCCAGGCAGCTCCGTTGGGACTTTGAAAACGGCCACTAAGCCAGCAGCCATAAGGCCAGGATTTGTTTCTCAATCTTGGCCACTTTAAAGGCATCTGGACTTCATCTCCCAGAATTCCCCAGCCAGCCTGGGTCGAAGCTGCCAAGGTTGAGAAACACACTGGTTTACTATAACAGCCAATCATAGTTGTAAAGTGACATTTTCAGTAAAGCTGGATTCCTGGTGACTTTAGGGATCATCTAAATCAGGGGTAGTCAACCTTGGCTCTTTTATGACTCGTGGACTTCAACTCCCAGAATTCCTGAGCCAGCTACCCCTGATCTAAATGGTTCTCTTTGCATCGTCCCAAAATGTTCGCCCCCTTCCTTGTCAGCTTCCCAGTCTGGCTACAATGCTGAGATCTCCTTGTGGTGCCCCATCCACCTCCAAACCAGCTTATCTTAAAAATACATAATAATAAATCAGCCAAGGTTGCCCAGATATAACAATCTGTTGTCGCTTCCTGGGCCTGAATCACAGCCACAATTAGTCAAAAAGAAAAAGAAAAATAGTTGGAAATCCTAATCCGTACTTTGAACGATTTTACAACACACCAGAAACTTCCTTTGAGAGGAAGGCTGGTACAGTGGTGGGATTCAGCCAGTTTGCACCACTTGGGCAGAACCGGTAGCTAATTTTTTTGTTGCCCAGGCCCAGAACGGACTTCCGGAAGCGGCATCCACGCAGAGAACCGGTGGTTCACCTATTTGAATCCCACCACTGGGCTGGTATATTATCAGAGAATTGGGAATGAAGGACAGTGAGAAGGAAGGATTCTGATAATATGCTTTGGGAAGGAAAGAAAAGTTCAGCATCCGGAAGATAGATTTCTCCGATCTTCAAAACCATGAGGACTAGAAGCCTTTTTTTTGAAAAGATGCTCACAGGTTTCCTTTTGTGGCAAAAAGGACAAGATGACGGATTCCTTTTCCTAAAAATAGCAACCTGGAGAAAGGATACCTCGCAGGCCCACATGAAAACCAAGACCTGAGCCGAAGCCCACATAACTGACAACGTCTGACGTTTCCTGCCTCGGTCTTGCCATTCCTGTATTTAAGGCAGCTATTCTCTTAACGGGGATTTTTTTTTTCTTCCCCTTTTCATTTTAGTTCATCGCGGAAGACAGCTGTGGCAGCTGGCCTTTTATCTTGCTAATGGCATCTATAAAGAATCTTCTGCACGTGGGCTATTTCAGTCCTTCTTAACCTTCGGGATCTTAAGCCCCCTAATCGGTTTTCGAGGACCCTCTGAGATGGGAGCAAAAAAAAAAAATCACTTTTTCTAGCAGGGATTGCATCGTGTGGAGTGGAAGAGAAAAGGGGAGGAGGAGGGGGAGGATAATTGTGGGGTCCTTGGTGCTCTTTGAGCTTGATTATTTTCTTGCAGACGTTTCATGACCCAACTAGAGAACATCATCAGTGTTGGAAGGCAGTAGGGTTAGTCTCTCCCTTCTAGCACTGATGGTGAAGCATCTGCAGGAAAGCCACCAAGCCTAGAGAGCGTTGAGGACCCCCACAGTTCAACCATGAGCTACAGATGACTCCTTTCTTGTGAATATTGGCTGTGAGGTCTTAATTTCGAGCAGAGTTCCTCCTAACTATCTCCCTACATTTTTCCTTCTTCCTCCTCTCCAACAAGATCTTAGAATCGTCCCTTTCCCACCTGAACATCAACATACTTGAAGGCGTGGGATCCGAAGTTGCCTATTTTAACACACAACCGCATCGGCGGCTTTGTGGCTGAGCCCGGCGTCCGTTTTGTCAGTCGCTCCCAATACAGAAGCTGAAAGAGGCATTCCAGTTTGGCAGCTGGTCCCTCGTTGAGCTGGCCGGGATCCAGTTATCGGCAGAAAGTTAATCTGAGCTATAGATCCCTTTGCCCCTCCTGCTAGTATCTCTGGTATGCGAGATCAAATGGGCTTTGTCCAACGGAAGAGAATAAGTTCATTTCTTTTAATTTGCGAGCCTTCTCTGGCCAGCTGTCTCCTACAACAATTCCAGGCAGCTCACAACCATCCATAAAACATAGTTATGAATACAGATGGTCCTTGAGTTACGACTGCATTTGGGATCAGCAAAAACATCTTCAAAGAAAAACAAGAAAGTCCAGTTGCTCCCAAAAAAGCATATTTGGGACAACCATGACCTGGATGGCCGAGAACCTCCATAGACACCTTCCATCTGTGGGTTGATGAAACAACGTCAGTCCTGTTCCATTTCTTGACCTCAATTTGTGTTGGTCAGAAGCTGCCCTCAAACTTCAGATGGAGAAGAATCCACCTNAAGGAAGGAAGGAGAAAAAGGGATGAAAGAAGATGAGAAAGGGAGAGGGAAGGGAGGACAGAAAGGACAGGAAGGAAGGAAGGAAGGAGAAAAAGGGATGAAAGAAGATGAGAAAGGGAGAGGGAAGGGAGGAAAGAAAGGAGGAAGGAAGGAAGCAAAAGGAGAAAGGGAAAAGGAAGAAAAGAAGTAAAGAATTTGAAAGAGGAGGTATTAAATTAATGTTAAGGAGCTGACCGAGAAACCAGAAGTCGGTGAATTCTAGTGCCGCTTAGACGTGAAAACCGTCTGGGTGACTTTGGGCAAAACACCAGGAGGCGGTGAGTTCTAGTCCAGCCTTAGGCATGGGCTGCTTCTCTTTCAGCCCAACCCACCTCACAGGGTTGTGGGGGGGAAATAAGAGAGGGAGAAGGAGCATTAGGTCGGTTCACCGCCTCGAGTTTCTTCTAAGATAATAAAGGTGGGATCAAATCAAATAAATTAGGGTTTCTTATGTGGAAAGAAAAGCGTTTTGAATCCTGCTTTGAAACCCTTTGTCTTTTTTTCTTTTTTTCTTTTTGTCAATGTTTGCAATTCCTTCTTTGTAACTAGTAATCCTTTCTTTTCCTTTTCTCCCTCTTTTTCTTTTTTTTTCCTCCCGTAGGATTTGTCTTCGGATCATCGAATGCGTAAGTCCAGATCTCTGCCTTATGCGCTTTCTAGCCGCTGCGTTCCATACGCGAAAGCCTTCTTCTGGGGCTAAAAGATATTAAAAACGCTAATCCCGGTTGAATTTTTTTAATCAGCTGGAGGAGAGGCCGGCTTTGTTGGGCCTCTTATGTCTCCTTGTAAGAGCATTAATGGAAAAGCCGAGGATCTGGCGGGTGATTCTCCGCCTGGAGTGGATCCAGCCGTGGAAATCCGCTGTTCTCTCCCCATCCCCGGCTGCTTGTCTATCAATCGAGACGGTAGTTTAGCGACCGAAACTTTCAGCTCCACTGTGGTCGTAAGTCGAGGTCCCAAACAGAGCCGGTTCAGTCTCAAATCAAACCAACTTTGATTCAATTTCTCGTAATTATTATTATTATTTTTTTCCTCCTTTTTAGATCCCCCTCGGGATTCAGCGGCTGGAGAAGCTGAACAGACAACAACGGCTCTTTCGCTGTTCTGGGACTCTTCTTTTTTTAAATGTCGCTTCCGCCGACTTTTTATACCAAACCACAAAAAGAGGGAGGGGGGGGAAAGCCTCGTGAAATTGCCTATTTTTTTTCTTCTTCTGTTGTTGTTGTTGTTAACGGAAACGTTGCTTGGCTTCTCTAAATAAAGCTATTTTATCTGCTGGTCTTTGAATTCCGCCTTGGCAAAACTCAAAGCCCAGAGAGGTGTTTTGTGGGTTGTTTTGTTTTGTTTTCGACAGGGATCCATTGGGTTCCTTTTGACAGGATCTGTTAGAGACCTGCTTGTCCTCAGGTTGTGACCTTGTCTAACTTGGGACAGCTTGTAAGGCAAGTTGTTCGGCGGACCGATGCGTTTTTATTGCCTTTTTGGGTCGTTAAGCGAATGCCACAGACATTAAGTAAACCGCGGTTCGGCACAGACAAAGTTTTCTCCGAAACTGGAAGTAAATGCTTGGGGGGGGGGGGTTTGCGAACCCGTCATAAAACACAGTCAAATGACTGCAAAACACTGTAAATATGACTCAGTTACCAAATGTATGAAAGGCAGTTGCGTGACTGCAGCGATGGGGGGGGGGACGACCATGGGGACTTCATATCCATCACATAGGTACCCCCCACCACCCCCAGGCAGCTCCGTTGGGACTTTGAAAACGGCCACTAAGCCAGCAGCCATAAGGCCAGGACTTGTTTCTCAATCTTGGCCACTTTAAAGGCATCTGGACTTCATCTCCCAGAATTCCCCGGCCAGCCTGGGTCGAAGCTGCCAAGGTTGAGAAACACACTGGTTTACTATAACAGCCAATCATAGTTGTAAAGTGACATTTTCAGTAAAGCTGGATTCCTGGTGACTTTAGGGATCATCTAAATCAGGGGTAGTCAACCTTGGCTCTTTTATGACTCGTGGACTTCAA